AAAGAGGCCAGAATAAGAAGAAAATGCTTAACACCGATGGATGTCACAGACCAGCAGTTAAGAATCACTGTAGATGACAGAATGACATCACAGGCTGATTACTAAAACTCTGATCACTCACAGCATGAGTTACATTACCTCAATTATACATGTAATGTACTTATGTATAAGCTCTTGTTGAAATTCAAATGCTATTCATTCATCAGTAATCTGTCAGACGACAGGTCCACAGTCTCTTCCAAAACAGTTCCTCCACATAATGCGATCTTCTGTTTTTGGAAAGAGACTATCCAGGAAAAGTGATAATGTGGTAGTTTTTCCATTTGCTTTCCACATTGCAAACCACTCTGTCACATCTGTTGCTATACGAACTTGAACCATCTCGAGCATCATTTGCTCTGTGCTTCAAGTCACTGCTGATGATGCTGCTTCCGGCATCAGTTTTTGGTTTTTGGTGTCTCTTCGTCTGATGCCTACCCTTTGACCCGTCCAGCAAGGGAGGCCTTGCCAGTAGCTACCCTACCACTGGTATAGCTCTCAGGGTCCTTGGCATACTCAAACCCCCTCATCATGATAAGGTGGAGACACCGACTTGACCAATTTCCAAGTGGCAGTGGTCACAGCTTGACACATTCAGTCTACCGGGAGGCATGGTTCTCAGACTGGCAGCACCAAAGAAACCTAATTTCTTCCAGTATCCCTAGTAAAGCAAAGATAATGTTAGATTTGAGGCTTTCACGGCGGTGACTATGACCACATATACACGGTGCCAAATCCCAGAAGACTGCTTTCTTCAAAGATAATGTTATGGGTCTTGTTAGCCTGTTTTTCTGTTATGGAAATATAAGTAGGCATATGAGACTGCGATGCTGCATTTCTGTCCTGTTCAAATTTCTTATCCCCCTGACAAATTTTCATGAAATTAGCAATAATAATAACCACTGGAGGCCATTCTGACTGAACTTTTTTTATTTCCTATAGTTGATGTAACAACATAACAGTCCTACAAACCTTTATTTTTTTTTATTTTCTGTTTATCCATACTGGTACAACCATTGGATACAGAAAATTAAAAAAAAAAAATGAATACAAGACAGTACAATAATAATGATGCAATCATTAAAAGATTTTGTCAAAATAATATAGAACACTGTAAGTATTGATACAATGATGTTACAATTACCATCAGAAATAATTATCTACTTTTATACATAAAATATTCACCCACAGTATAAAAAGAATGCTCGTGCAAAAATTTTTAATGCTTTTTTAATATCACATGCCAAGTCCTTAATATCAGCTGGGAGATGGTTATATATCTTGACGCCTGCGTAGGCGGGACCTTGGTTGGAAGTGACACTAGCACCAAATTACTCATAATATAGAAGTCTGAAATGATGTATGAAAAGAAACTTTAAAAAAATACAAAACTTTTATTACTAGTTTGTTCTGTAAAATGTAAAATAATAAATATGTCAGCTGCATGAAGTCTAAATTTAGTTTTTGGGTTGATGGTCATAATCAGTGCAGCCAAGCCCTAGAATTTGGTTTGTAGAGGAGCTTAAGTACCTGCAAACTCTGAAATGCTGTGTATCACGTAGACAATTTCAAACACGGCAATTCTGCCGAACTTTAAGGTTATGGCCAACAAATTTAATGAAGATAAAATCTACACGTTATATATTTTTTCAAAAATTAAAACAAATAACAATTATAACAATGTATGACACAAACTCCACCCTAAGTGCAACAATTTATTGTAGTTTTTTGTCTTCTTTTCTTCTACACTACATGTTTCGCCCGTAAATGGCCATCATGTGTATTAAAATTTAATTTTTTTTTTTTTTAATTTAAATTGAAGATTTTAAAAATACCAAAATTCAAAAATCAAATTGATGTCTGTAAATAAACAAAGATTTTATACATATCTAACAAATATCAGCAAGGGGATTCTGATATATCGGGACCTATTAACAATGGAGAAATGAACAATTAAGAAAGCTGGTGTTTTTAAATTTTAAAATACGTGCAGTGTAACAGCTACGTGAGAGAAATACACCTGATGATGCCCATTTATGGCCGAAACAGGTAGTGTAGAAGAAAAGACAAAAAACTACAATAAATTGTTGCACTTAGGATGGAGTTTGTGTCATACATTGTGTAGAGTGTAACAGGATGCTTAAATATAATATTGTAAACAATTATAACACCAATAACAACATGTCATGTCAGATTTTTGCAAGGTGATGATAATGGCTGACATTTTCTCTCCATTGACCATTATGGTTCATACAAAATATTTTTTATGGGAGGTATGTGGTAAAGATTTTGTACACACTTAGTTAGATTTTTATAAAATGCAACTTCTCAGAGTGCTTTCATGTTATAATTCTTGAGGTTAAATATAGTAGGCAGAATTTTGTGTTTTTTTATCTGTATATAAACAAGCAAATTAAATTTGTCCAGACAGTTGTGGCAAATGTCCTCAGAGCCACTGTAAGTTATTAGCTACGGTAAATATTTTTGCTAAATCATCCACACACATTAGAAATGGATACCTATTGGTTGTATATATTTGTACCTGCTGTTGACTGAAATGGCTGAATGACTGGTAGGTTCCATGACCCTGTGAAATAGTATCAAACTCAAATGATCAGCCTTGTTTAATTTCTGCTAAGAAACGAACCTCAGTTCATTGTCATCCAGCCGACTGTCTAGTCTTTGTAGCGTAATGATTTCATTCTTTGAACAAACAAAAGCCCAGAAACCTTCAGCAAAAATATTTTGAACTTTCCCAAGTTTCTGAATTATTGATTTTGTTCCGNTACATATGTGGGAACTGCCCACATTCAAGCAAGCGTGACAACGCAAGCTTCCTAGCTTCATAGATCCGTTGCCCGTATTGGGCCGAATATTGAGCTCGTCAGATTAATTAAAAGTAGTTGCGATATGCAACCGAATCCAAATAGACACAACCTAGATACAATAGGAATATAATAAAATTAGGTATTTGCCATATATTCATCAAGAGAATAGAAAGTCTTTCAGTTTTCGTTTAAATAAATTAACTAAAATATATAATTTATGTGGCAAATTATTAAAAATGTTTATGGATGTATAATACACTCCCTTTTGTATGAATGGATAGTCTAGCTGATGTGACATGTAGTCTGTTTTATACTCTAGTGTTAATTTTATGTACACTATTATTTGTAGGATAATTATTTTTATTTTCAATTACAAACATGACCATGGCATATATAAACAAACAGGGAACTGTAAGTATCCCTAATTCTCTGAAAACCTCTCTACAAGAACTTCTAGGCCTCATCATTAACATTGCTCTAATTGCTCTTTTCTGAGCCACAAAAACTCTTCATTGATGACGAAGAAGAGCCCCATAAAATAACACCATATTTAAGTTGAGCTTGGCAGTAAGCACAATAAGCCATTTTCAACACTTGCCTACTTACTATAGGCTGTAGTTTTCTAAGTACAAAGTTTGCAACACTCAACTTATTTATCACATCATCAGAGTATTTTTCCCAGCCCTAATGACTGTCCAGGCGCACACCTAGAAACTTAACATTTACAGAAAATTTAAGTGTTTGGTCATTATATTTTATATGAAATGGATAGTCCGTGGCCTTAGGGGTCATAAATTTCATTACATGGTTTTTTTTTTAAATTTGGTATTAATTGGTTAACTTGGAACCATCTATATAAATGTCTCATAACTAAATTTATTTTGTTATTAAGGCTACAAATATCCTGTGAAGAGACAATAAAAGTGCTGTCATCAGCATACAGAACCGTATGTGCCAACCCATTTACAATTCTAGGCAGATCATTAATATATACACTGAACAACAAAGGTCCCAGTAGAGATCCCTGCGGAACTCCATGTTTGCTAGTTTTCCATTTAGAAACATATGTATTTTAGTCTGGAGTCTGTAGAATGATTCTTTGCTTCCTGTTATATAGGTATGTTTCAAGCACTTTTAGTAGAGATTGTGGACTCGAACTACCAACGGATTCCCAACCTCCATATCCTACATATGCAGTAAAGTAATGATTTACTAGATCATCTGGGGGATTATCTGTTGAAGCTTGAGCTGGTGATGGGTACGAGATGGGAACTTTAACGGCCTCAGAATATTATTGTAGGAAGTTTAGTATCGCAGTACAAGCAATCTTTCCAGAAATGTTCAAGTTATTTAGGTTAGGTACTCTTGTGTTGTTTTTAACAGTTTACTGTCCAAGTATAAACACGCCATACTACAATAAATATACACAAATTTCTTCGAATCAGTCACATACACCAAAACGGAGTCTTGTAATGTCACCCCGATCACTACACTTCGTATAAAACTATGTAGCACCTACTACAATACTCTACACGCACAGACACGCACGTAATTCTCATTTTTTTAATTGTAGGAAAAATATTGTAAATACAAAAAATGCCTGTGCTTTTTATCATTCGCTACTGACATCTATACTTCTGCACAGTATATATTTGTAACTAATATCGATACGCTATCGACTTTGTTGGCTCCAAATCATGTGTTAATTATTATTTTTATGGCCATAATTTATGGCGAAGTATTTGTAGCTGCTGTTACGGTCTAGTTGTGCTGCTGAGGCCAAAAAGAATGAATTGTTATTCCATAGATGATACGACTTGTGAGTGACTTATTATTTTTTTGAACACCTTATATGAGTTGAAAAATTCATCGAATATAATTTTTGCAAGGAAGCAATACTAGTAAGTGTACACTTTAATAATTGATTTATTTTTATTTACGCAAGAACCACAAAAAGGAAAGAGCGGTAGAGTTTATAACCCCCGTATTATAGAAGTACAATTGTTAATTTATTTTTAATGAAACATGTAATAAAGGTAGCTGTATTTTAATGTAGGCTAAGACTAAAACAGTACTCTCATCAGCAGGAAGAACCCAGCAAATAAAATATAACAAGGCAGGTAAATAAAGACAATGATGATGGACGATGATATTCAAGCTGTGGATTCTCCAATGACATCAAGCCCCGCAACAATGATGAGTCCGTCAGATGTAATGTCACCAGGATCGGTTCCTGGAGCAGTTGGAAGTCCAGCTGCATCATTTCCTCGACAGCATCTGCAGCAGCAACAATCTCAGTCAGGGCCTCCAGGACCACCAGGCCAATCAAAATATGCACAATTATTGGCAGTAATTGAAGAAATGGGGAAGGATATTAGGCCAACATATGCTGGAAGTAAAAGTTCAGCTGAAAGACTGAAACGTGGAATAGTCCATGCAAGGATTCTGGTGCGAGAATGTCTAATGGAAACAGAACGAAGTGCGAGACAATGACCCTCAAGAAAGCAGGACATTGCATTTGATGCTGTATTGCATAGCCTTCTTGAGGAATATATGCACAATAAAAAATAATATGAACACTCTTGTAATATCCATACATTTAAACAGAGTGTGTAATTTTAAAATTGCAGCCCAAGATTCCTGAATTGTTTATCATCCTTCCGGGCAGTTGATTTTCAAATCAGTTATGTGGATAGTCCATAAGTACTGTGTGAACCACATTTTAGCTTTACCTGATACATAAGTGCAATTGTCAATTCATGAACAATTTTCTTTGAATTTTGAAGTTAATGTGACTATTTTAGTTTTCTGAAAATTCTTGACAATATACAGTGTGAGAATAAGTGGGTATTAAACAGGCTATGTAAGATTTCATAACTTACCTATTATCTTTGTGTCATATTGACAGACAGTATTGTATGCAAAGTCAGCTACAATTATAACTTTACAGTATGGTGACCACAGTTTCCTGCAACTGAATTTGAAATTTAGTTGCAGTTTCTGGATCTGTTGTTATTGGTGTTTGATCTTATTTATGCATCAGGCCATTCTAACTTACATACTGGGCATCATATTGTAAAGGTACACCAATAGTTTTCTGACACGATTCACCAATAATTATGTTCTGTATAGTCAGACTAGTGCAGTTTCTATTTTTATAAACCCTGGGAAATAGTTTTCTGTTGAAAAATTCTGATTTTCTGTGGTATGATGATTGTTGACTGTTGAAAGTCACCAGACGTTCCTGACGAACATGATGCTCACATGTGTTTAGGACCCCTTGGGGCAAATGTTTGAATAACATTTTCCAAAGGTATCAGAGTAAGAAAGAAAGAATATATGATTTTCATCTTTAATTAGTATCATAGGTGTAAATTTTTCCTTTGTTGTACAAGAAGGAGTGCTTGAGACCTAGAAATTTTTATGTCTAGTTGTGTGAAGTCCCAGACATAGGTTTTGTTTAGAATTGTGTTGCCAAGACTTGGCCTGTGTTGGTTAGAAATAAGTAACTGGACTTGTTGGTTACCCACTGTATTGAATTATAGGTAAGACTTGAAAATGATTGCGTTAATCTGACTGCAACTTGAAATTTTTGCAGATTGGTTTTAGTTGCCAATATGAAAATGCATACTATGTTGTGGAACTTGTCCAGTCAGCTGAAATATCTGTTCTGTGTAGTATTTATACATTTATTGTGCTACATATGGCTAAAGAGTAGAAATTCATGGTTTGTATACTTCCAGATAAAATCAACTAGTATTGTACACACAAAGCAAATGAAATGGTTCCAGTCCACTTAAAAAAGTAAGATGGCAGCAGAGCCCAATTCTAGGACTGCTCATATGAAAGGAGTTTCTTGTGTGCCATGTGTATTGTTACTGGTATTTAATATTTTGTGGAACCAAGTGACTATTTTGACGTCCCTACGTCGAAAATCATGCGCTTCGAATGAAGCACAATAGATCACTGTGGTCGTGGTGCAAGGGTCAAGAAGGCCTGCTCCTTATACATTCATTCTTTCATTCATACTGATATTTAATGCAAGAGGCTGTTCAGTATGTAGAATATGTAACCAAATTTTGAATGGCTGAACCTACACGTTCAATGACTGATAAAATAACTGCTAAAATACATTTGCTTTCAGCGTTATTAAGCAGCCCAGAATGGTCTTTAGACTGATTGGCCATTAAATGATTCCCTGCACTTTGTTTATTAGGTTGTGTAAATGTGAAATTTTTTTTGCTTGCTGGATCTGAGAAGGTTCTCACAGCAGTGACTATTAAGAGTGCTGTCTTCCAGGATGTGATGCCATACAGTCTGGTATAAGTTCACTGATGTTTCAGAGAGCCATACTGCCTTCACAGCAGAGCAAGTGACCCACAGAATTAAGTGACAGGCTGTGTTTTCTGTATGCTTGCAGACTATGTGATGGCACATTGCAGAAGACAGTACTCTGGTTGTATTGATTTATAACCTTCATTCATCTGACATGTTTTTAATTCTCTGAACTAATTCTGGTATTGTATTTTTCAAGTTCTTTAATGGAGTGTTACAGAGAAACTTAATGGTGTTGATGTAAGATTCTCTGAAAATATTTTCCTATAATTCTTCTGCATATTTTAGAAACATTAAAGAAATTATTTTGAACTGATTGTAACATATGCATGGGATTTATATGTTGTAACTCTTGGCTTTGAAATATTTGTGACGAGTTTCATTATGTGTACAGTGGGTTACTGAAATGTTATCGCAAAGAAATGCGTGATGTAGGAACTTGGAGAACTACTTATAGGACTGTTAGTAATAGTACTGATCTTAATGTACATACACTTTCTTTAATTACAGTTCCTTAATTGTCCATTTAATTGGAAATCATAACTTCTATCCGCTTTCTAATTTTGTTGTGTTGCTTGTATTCATGGTACTAAAATGCTTCTGTTTCAATATCCTACATTCTTGTCACTGATATTAAGCCTGAAGTGATGGCATAAACTTGTTTTACCTACTACTACCACTCAGTGCTACAGCCCTGGGTGAGCCTTGGCCTCCTCTACAACCAGTCTCCACAACCAGTGCGTGCTGCCATAGGAATGGACCCACGCATGATGACCAGAGGCTGGTTTTTAGGTTTCCGAACAAAATTGTTTTTACAGGATGAGGTTGTTAGCCTCATGCCCAACCCCCAAACTGGAGGACCAGGGTATCTCTCTTAGTTTGGACTCTACCCTTTGACCTTTATGGCATGGGTGACCCTACCACTAGTTAAACTACCACCGGCATAGCTCTCCAGGTCACAGAGTCATGCAAGCTCCACTGCCACAAGGTGGAGACACCTTTGGGGCATAAACTTGTTTTGCCTACTACTACCACTCAGTGCTACAGCCCTGGGTGAGCCTTGGCCTCCTCTACAACCAGTCTCCACAACCAATGCGTGCTGCCATAGGAATGGACTCACGCATGATGACCAGAGGCTGGTTGTTAGGTTTCTGAACAAAATTCTTTTTACAGGATGAGGTTGTTAGCCTCATGCCCAACCCCAAAACTGGAGGACCAGGGTATCTCTCTTAGTTTGGACTCTACCCTTTGACCTTTATGGCATGGGTGACCCTACCACTAGTTAAACTACCGCCAGCATAGCCCTCCAGGTCACAGAGTCATGCAAGCTCCACTGCCACAAGGTGGAGACACCTTTGGGGGATAAACTTGTTGTACTCTTCCTTAATAGGCTTTCTGTTTCTACTCTAAACTCTGCAATTGGTGAAGTGATGAGCACTCCTGTTTTGTGCTTGGGAAGTCTTGGGTACAAATTTCACTACAGAGATCTGCTATTCAGTCAGGTTTTTCATGGTTTTCCTTTGTCTCTTCAGGAAATTATTACGATAGTACACACCTCAAATTAGTCCATGAGAGTCCACAGCTTTTGCAGTTCAGTATTCACTAGGACTGTCATTGTATGCTATGTGATCTGAGCTACTTCAAACAGTGTTAAGTAAACCAAGAATAAATAAATGTTGAGCAGGTTAAATGTGAAGTATCATGTATTTATTGTGAACAGCTCATCCTTTTCACTTTATTAGTGGTTTTGTGCTGTGGTTTCTAAAATTCCAAGGAAGAGTTTTATGTGAGCATTCAGGTATTAGGAAATTATGTAGGATATGAGGTTCTCACAACAGTAGCTATGGCTCTGGTTTGCTACCTACTTTATGGTGGTTTTTTGCTTGGCTTATTCTTCAGCCCTGAAGATGGAGGTGACATGCTCCTCTAAACATTGGTAGACTTCCAGTGGACTACTCAGCATCATATATCAGAAGACAGAACTCTTCATCTGAAAATTATATTTTAAACTGACTGAAGCAATGTGGTTATCGCTCACAGGAAAACCCGAGAAAGAATGGTTGGGTCTGGCTTCGGGATCTATTCTGCACATATTAAAATTGTCCGTTCTTCATGTAATGTGGTGTACAAAAACTACACTCATTCAGGCCTTTGAATGAATTGCAGTGTTACAGTAAGATGATTTTTATTACAAATGTCTAATTTAATGCAGAAGTGGAGATATACTTCATTTAACAGTGGGAATATTAAGTTATCTCTGTATCATCAGATATTATACATATTTTTTTCCTTTAATTGGATTATTAAACAACATTGTACTAATTACAAAGATTATATAATATCAAGAAATTGAGTATGATTATAAAGTGTGGTTAGGCAAGGGTGTTATGGAGGCAGTCATGGCTAATTTTTGAGGTACTATCCCAGTAGTTGCCTCAGAGGACTAAGGAAAACCATTAAAATCTCTCTTCAGGAGAGCTGGTCTCCCATCCAAGAGTTTAACTGGGAACTGCCAGAATACATGGCCTCATTTATAGATATGGGTAAAGTTATCCATGTTATAATTAACTTAAAAGTGTGTATTGTGTCCTGATAAGTAATGGAACTTAAAAAACCTGGATTTTGTTATTAATTCCCTTGCATATGGCTGTAGCCATGGTCATCATGCTGATGATATGAGGCAGCTCACTTGGAGTTATGCTGTGATGTACAAGGTCAGTACAATATGTGTGAATTATAAGTTGGGTGAATTTGGAAATGGCATTCACATAATTTTTTGCGAGTTTCAAGAATCTGATTTGAAAATGTATTGTGTAAAACAGTTACAATATACATACAAGTCAAGAAGTTCAGAAAATGAAATGGAACTTCCAAGATGAATGGTAAACACATAGAATTTCACACTGTGTTATACACCATCGTCAGAATCCTATAGTAACTACATAGAATTTCAATCGATGACAGACCAAAATATAATCTATACAAAAGTAAATTTCTGCTATGATAAAATTTAATAATTCATTTAATTTCTAGAGAATTGTGAATGTTGAACGTACAGTACTGAATGTGGTTTTTCAAGTGACGCTGTGTACAGGCGCCATTGGCTGTGATGCCGAAACATATATTATACATGAGGCTTGCCCCAACTATTTAAACTG